AGCTGAGTGAGCATCCGACTTATGTTGCCCTCTTATACTTATTATCCGCGAGTGAGGAGTCGAGCTTGTGATTGCTCACTGCGTTGTTGTATGCCGTTGGTCAGCTGTTTGTACTCCAGTTTTGATCTATAAATTTACATTTACTGATAAAAAAAAGTTAATCATGCTTGATTCCACTTTTTTTTTTTTTTTTGGTGTTCATTAATTAGAAAAATACTTTTGTAAGATTTAAGAATTGCTCCAATAATCTTTTTGATACAATTTCATACCTTCTTAACATAAATACATACTATTGTTATGAAATGTCATACTTTTGTTTACTAATATGTGTGGTGCGCGTATCTAATTGATAAGTTAGTTGATGTCTTATAAACAAATTTCGAACTTATAACTTATAATATATGAATGGCGGCTGAAAAGTTAGCTGATATAATGAAAGTATTTGGCAAAATATTAACTTAATTAGAAAAATAAACAAACTTTTTCGAAAAGCTAAAACAATAAGCTTATGAGTTATGTTTCGTCTTTTTAAAAAAGTTCATTATATCAAACCAAGCACAAAAAATATACGTGCTTAATTGTTATGTCCGTCTAACATTAGCCTAACCGAGCTAATATTGATATAGAAATTTACAAACCTCCCAAAATTACTAATTATAACAATGAGAGATGTTATGGTCCCGTTACGGAACTATTCCGTCGGGATTTGTAACCGTTAAATCAACTATCCCCGACGGTTACATGATGATTAACGGTTACAAATCCTGACGGAATGATTCCGTAACGAGACCGTAGTATTTCCCTATAACAATTAACACATACCATTTCATAGCCTCCATTTGGGAAATCTCAATATTATTTCCTCTTTACCGTTGAGTCTCTACACGCTTGCCAAATGTGCACAAAAAAACTTAATTGAGATAAAACCTGAATTTATTAGCCAAACCTAAAACTTTATTGCCCCGATTTATTACTCTCTCTAGCACATTTTTTGCAACGGTAAAATCCACACTAATCCCCCCTATAAATGTCCATTTACAACCCAACATTTTCTTGCATGCACAAGTTTTTACAGTTTCAATCTCCATATTATAAAAACATATTGGCTGATTTTTTTTTTTTTTAATCTTTCATATAATTACCAAAAATTTGTGATTTGGGTGAATATTAAAAAAAAAAATCTTCGAATTTTAGTGTTAATCATTTGTTTTCGCTATGGTTGATAGTAATGTTTACGAATTTCTTGTGTTTTTCATGTTATTTTCAGCTTGTATTTGTTTTTCGAACGGCCTTCAATTCAACGTTGGGGGCAAAAATGGATGGCGACTAAACCCTTCTGAAGACTATAATCGTTGGGCCGAAAGTTTGAGATTTCAAGTTAACGACACACTATGTAAGTTATTTTGTATGTGTGTATTTTTCTTTTCTTTTTTTTTTCACAAATTTTTGAGTGAGACAGTCGTATTAGATGAATGGACACTCCGTATTATTTGAATAATAATGTGTACTTTTACTATTACACGCCATACTTATGTTTAAGTTGTTTCTTTATTGTTTATCGTTAATCAACAAAAATATTATCATAAATGGTTAATTAACAAAAAAAAAATAAAAAAATAACATGTGACTATAAGAACAAAGATTACTTTCATTAATCTTTCAATTTTTTATTGATAATAACAAGCTTTACGGTTTTAGATTCAAGACGCATAGTAACACATTTATAGCACAAAATTAAGACACATTTTACACATGTTTACAACACAAAGTTATTCAAATTTAAGACACATGCATATATGTTACACATGTTTATAACACAAAATTATTCAAGTTTAAAGGCACCTAATTTGCAGTTACATACGTTTTTTTTTTTTTTTTTTATCACATAAATAAAGTATTTTTATTTATATTGTTTCTTAAGATATTATATTTTGTAATGAAAGTACGAAAATAATTTTTATTGGAATAATTTTTGGGTGTAGTTTTCAAATACAAGAAAGGTTCAGATTCAGTGCTGGTTGTCAACAAAGACGACTACAACAGCTGCAACACAACAAACCCTATCGAAAAATTCGACGGTGGGAGATCGATCTTCAGATTCGATCGATCCGGGCCGTTCTTTTTCATCAGCGGCAACGAAGCCAGCTGTATTCGCGGCCAGAAGCTGATTGTCGTTGTTTTAGCCGTCAGGAGCGGCGGGCCCGGCCCGTCGCCCGTCGAGCCGCCGGCCCCGCGTCCGGGCATTCCGCCGGTCGAATCTCTGTCTCCGGCGCCGGCGCCGGCGGAATTATCACCGGAGAATTCAACGCCGGCAGTGCATCCGCCGCGCCGCTCGTTTGCGGCGGCGGAGGAGTGGGGGTTCTCGGCGGCGTTGGTGGGAACAGTTTCGCTGGTTCTAAATGTGTGGTTGGGAGTGTAATTTTTAGGATGTTGAGCTGAGTGTGCTTTTATTATTATTTTTAGATTTATTTTGGTGTAGGAATATTTGTGCAATAATTAGTTGTCATTTACTAAGATATTCTAGTAACTTCATCAAAAATAAGAAAATGCTAAGGTTCTGTTACAAGATGATACCGTCAGTGTTTTTTACCACTGGATATACACATATAAATTATGTTGTATAGATAATCTACAGTAACCAACACTGACGGAATCATTCCGTCAACGAGACTGTAGTAACTCACCACCTAAAAACATTTTCTTTTATAAGACACCACCATCTATATAGTTTGCACTTTTGTATACTACCAAAAGTGCAAATGACTTGAACTAATTTGAGAAATTTTCCCTTCTCAAATCCCTTTTTTCTTTAGGATTTTCTAGACGTTGCAACCCTAATTTCCGAACCTACATTCTTTATAAATTTTTTTAGTAATCTTATGTGATAGTCAAACCATTAATCGAATCATCCCGTCGTGCAGTTTGAACCAAAATGCTCATGCATATATGTAAAAAAGTTGGGAAATGCTACGTCATGAATTGTAATCGTTAGATCATTATGTAACTGTCGAGAATAGTTGATCTAACGGTTACAAAACCCGACGGAATAGTTCCGTAACGGGACCGTACATTCTTTCTCCCTATAAAATCCAATATTTGCTCTATACCATGCATTCTGAATTTTTATTTCCCCTAACTTCCCCTAAGGTGGCAGGCTGTGAGAGACACAAGGGCAATCATCCAAAAACAAACTAACAACAAAAAAAACCACAAAACTACAGAAATATAGAAAAAACAAAGGAAGAAAAACCATACAGAGTCCACACAGAAAAAAGAACAAAAACAAGAAAATTCAAGAACAGAGCCATCTTTGTTAATCCGAAGCTGTTTGGGTCCTAAAAAAACACCAGCGATTAACGACCGATGGCCTCCCGTCTCGTGCTGGCCGTTCTACTCGTGGCGGTGGCCGCCATGGCCGCGGCGGCATACGCCGGCGACCTTTCCCTTGCCGAGACGTTTTTGGCGGAGCCCGATGGCCACGGCCTGGTGGCCGACGCACTCGACTTCGACGAGGAGATGATGATGGAGTCGGAGACCGCTCGCCGGCAGCTCCGACGCGGCGGTGGGTACATCAGCTACGGCGCCATGGGGAGGAACAACGTGCCCTGCAACCGGCGCGGCCGCTCGTACTACAACTGCAACGGCCATCAGAGGGCCAACCCCTACC